TCGTCATCGTCATTGTGTTCTTTGTGTTGCACGATAAAGAGCGAGCAGCCCGTGCCGCCGTGAGCGCACGGCTTTTACACGCAACACGGCTCTTCGCCGACAGAGCTCGCGATTAATTGCGTTATGTATGATCGAACTCCCCTAAATGCTAAAAATAGCCGACAACCCCCGGCGGCGATAAAATTCCTCTGCAACTAGTCCCGTACGAATCGCCGGTGATTTCCCGCTCTAAAAGACACGTAAGTTGCGCGAATCAACGTGGCCAACTTTTCAGCGTGAAAAAAGCTCGTGGAAAAACAGCCTGTCACGCTTGCCCCGGCAGTGAGTATCGAGAAATTATAAAAGCGGAAACTTCGATTGGTAGCAAAAAAGAACGGGGAAACAACCCGTGCGCGCTGCTGGGGTTGATCGTTGTCGTTGTCGTCGTCGTCGTCGTCGTCGAGACTCGACGTTACTACGAGGGAGGATTTGTCGCGCGCGCGCGAGAGAGAGAGAGAGAGAGAGAGAGCCGCTCTCTGTGAATACCAATTAGCGCCGATGAATCCGCTCGGAAAACCGCCCGAGCCCGCGCGATTCGCGCGGGGCGGAATGCCGCTCGGCGCGAAAATAGAGGCGTGAGCGTAGAAAAGAAATAGGACGGCGAGCGAGCGAACATGAGCGCGCGCGCGCGCGCTCTCTCTCTCTCTCTCTCTCTCTCTCTCTCTCTCTCTCTTCCTCTTTTTCTCTCTTCCTCTCTCTCCATCTCGCCACCGGTCGCCGGTGTACGACACACGAGAGAGAGGATATAATGTAAGAATTTTTATACGAGAGAATATTTTCCGATAGCACTTTAAAAACCCCCTTGTGCTCAGTGGCTGCGTGAACGAGTTCTACGTTATAACGGGTGCGCGCGTTACGGTGGCCGGCCCGCAAGAAAGGACGCGCGCGCGACGTCGTTATCTTGGTTACGGCACACGCGTACATAATAAACACGTGTAATGTATGTACATACGGCACGGCTGTTTATGGAGCTCCGGCCTTGGCGAGTCAAGGGACGCGGGATTTGTCGCGTACAACCCCTGCAAGTCCCCCCGACGCCGCGGCGTCGCCGACAACTCGCGAGATAGAGAGAGAGAGAGAGAGAGAGAGAGAGAGAGAGAGAGAGAGAGAGAGAGAGAGAGAGAGAGAGAGAGAGAGAGAGAGAGAGAGAGAGAGAGAGTGAGGGTGAGAGGGAGAGGGACAGAGAAACACATACACACACACACAGAGAGAGAGAGAGAGAGAGAGACTCGTGTGAGACTCTCCCTTTGATCGCGACTGCTGCCACGATATCGCAACGAAATCTCAATCTCGCCGCCGGATAAATCTCTCCTCCCCGAGAAAAACGGTCCGTTAAATCGGCAGAGTCCGACTTGCGTTTACGTACGAGAATACACGATGGCGGGATTTACGCGACCACCGCAACGACTCGAGAGTGATGACGAGAGTGACACGTACGAATTTTCGCGATCGCCGTTGGCAAAACGAGAAATGGGAGAGAGAGAGAGAGAGAGAGAGAGAGAGAGAGAGAGAGAGAGAGAGAGAGAGAGAGAGAGAGAGAGAGAGAGAGAGAGAGAGAGTGAGGGGGGAAAGAACAGTGGAGACAGAAGGAGGACTGAAGAAAAAACGTTTATGCGAAAATAGCCCGCTTAGAATGAAAAAAAGCAAAGCGGAAATCTCTTTTTTCATTCTCGCGCTCGTTTCGGAGAGAGAATTCATCTGCTCTGCAGCGAAACGTGCAACGCCGTTATTTTTACGGACACGTCCTGTGGGCATCGGAAAGATAATAATTCTCTTCCAAACGGGCGCAGAACGAACTTTGCGATGTAACACGAGCGGATAATCGTCAGCAAATTATGCATCGCGTGCCGCAAAAGTTCCTACGGACTCAGCCGTAGAAAGAAAGAAACGTTAGGGGAGAGAGATCGCGTATTTCGGGAATGGGTATTTTCATCTCCGAGCCATAAATACGGAGCGAAGGCGCGATAGACAGTGCGTCGCCCGTGCGTCGGCCGCGATATGTTGGTGTTGCCGTCTCGCAGTACAACATCGCGAGGTCTCCTCTCGATGCGCTCATCAAAAGCGAGGCCAGCGCTCCGTTGCTTTCATCTCGCGGCCAATTTATCAGTCGCCGCGATCCAATCCGCCCTCGAACGTCTCCGCCGGGGAGAACATGACGCGCGCGCGCGCTCGCTCGGCATGAGTCTCGAATTCGGAATTCCGTGCGAACGCTCGAGAGAAGACTTTCCCTTCGCCCCTGTCTGCGACGCGCCATTTTTCCCTTCCGCTCGCGCGCTACCTGCGCGCCTACACCTGGCTTGAAACGGCGCGACGGCATTTAACGCGCGCGCTGGAAGTCGTGTAAGAGCGTTGATTTACCATTGTCACGGCCGCTACTCTCGCGCGAGAACATTACAATCGCCTGTCGCAATTCGAGCGCGGCAATGCGGCGAAACCGGTGACCGGCCGCCGCGTCGCGCCGCCCGCACCTGCGCCGCCTAAGTGGTTATATTTGTAGTCCTCGTACTCTCTTCTTTCCTTGCGCGATCTCGCCAAGTATGCACGCGGAAAAGAAACGACTTGCACTCGGCCGACTGCCAGACTATATTTGTCGCGCGACGTGCCGATTACACCTGTAAAAAAGTCCCGTGGGAGCGCGGATCTCGCGAGGCACCGCTCGCACTCTGTCTGACCGCGCGTCCAACCCCCCGAGTAGGGTCCTTGCGGTCGGAAAGCGAACGTTCGTAAGGCTCCACGAATTCTGCAAGTTTGAGCACACCGGAACCGCGTGGTTTGATTTTGGATTGAACGTAATCGTTGCTGGCCGCGACGAAAGCGAAAGAGTAATAAGCGAGGTACGTGGGCGATGCTTGATTAAGCGGGGGGGAGGGGGGTTCGAGACGAGGGAGCGATGATTTTATCGTTTTATCGTGATAAAGTAAAGCTTGATTGTGTGTGACATCATTTAAGCAACCGTTCATCTCCCCAAGAAGCACGACGATCCTTTAGCGAACGGGCAGTTTTAAGGGTTTAGTCGCGATGAGCGTCGAATGTGCGACGAGGGATGGGCTGATGGACACGTCGGATTTGAGAAAGGGCGTCTCTCACGGGTTCTCGCGGGGATGCGTGACGCGGGGATTGCGCGCTGGAGCGATTCAGCACGACGGTAAAGTGCGACCGGATGTTAGGCGACTCGAAGAAACGCGACGACCGCTTGACGTCACAATTTCCCGCGCCGGCCGATCGATGTCCAGGTGAATTGTGATTTAATTGGCAGGCGGGGAATTAACGCGGCAAAGTGGACCAAAGTGGATTGTCTATGCGAAATAATAACAACGATATTCTCGTCCGTCGCGTACGTCACGGCCGTGACGTAAGCAGATATCGAGCACAAATGGTGACGAGCGTTTGGAAATATCGAACGGATGCGATAACCCAAATCGCCCCCCGCTAATAGCGCTCAATTATTTAACGCCGCTGCTACTCGATTGACCGCAAATGGCGCGGAAAACGAGTTCCAATTATCGACGATAAAACATTATTGCGCGAGCAGGCGGAGATTCGCGGGATCGTCGTTCTCAAACGAACAGCAATTAATGTTCAGCTCTAATAAAGACTGACGGACGCAAATATCTCGCTTGATTCCCGGCTAAAACAGGCAGCCGGGCTCGTGACGCGTCGTCAGGCCGAAACACGGTTATTAAAATAAAATCTAGGCGAGATGGCGGCGACGACCGCAAAAAGCGCTCGCAAAAAGTCGTTGTTACGTCGTGAATCGCAATTAATCGAATCGGCGAATTTCGAACCTCCGAGTTACCGGAAGTCTAATAGACCATCACCTAAAAATCGTGCGATATGCACGCACGCTCCAGACTCTGTGTGTAAATAAATATCACAATTTTAACGCGCTTTCATCGCGCATCGTGTTTAATTGCATGCAACCGCGGTAGCGCGAATACGGAATAACTGAATATTTTATCAAGTGAGCTGTAATGGAAGAATTTTGTGTCTCCTGACGGACCGTTCTTCGTTTACAATTCCAATCTCTCCGAAAGCGCACAAAATGATACCATCTCCTTTAATCGGACCCCTGTGTGTCTTTATCCGACTTGTAAACGCGAGGAAAAATTCACGAATGCGTAAACCGCATGTGTCTCACACGGCTGTTGCCGTCGCGGCTATGAGATTCGTGGAAAATACGAGAACACGAGACGTTCCCGAGATTAAATTCAGCTCGATAACGCTTAACTCAGCGTTCCGCCCTTCTAAAATAGTAAAATTCATCTTGCTCTCAGTAAAATTCATCTTGCTCTCAGTAAAATTCATCTTGCTCTCTGAGCAAACTCCGCTCGCAATCTCCTGTCGCAGCCACTAATCATCAGCCGAGTCAAACTACCAAGACACTTAATGACGCGATAAATGCGACGCGAGCGTTAAGACGCGAAACGAAGCTCGCGTGTAAAAATCTACGCTATCTACAGCGGGAAAGGGAAGAGAAAAAAGCCGTCGCCGCGCGATCGTCGACAATCGAGCGCGACGAAGCGAGGCTACGTACGTGGTGTATTCCCACACGCATCTATCGCGATCCACCACCCCCAACGCGGCGTCAGTTACCGCTACCGCCGCCGTTATTACCACCACCACCACCACCACCACCACCATCGGTCTCATCTGGTCATCTTCATCATCGAACATTATCATCATCTTCATCATCGAACATTATCATCATCATCATCATCATCATCATCATCATCATCATCATCATCATCACCATCATCACCATCATCATCGTCATCATCATCATCATCATCATCATCATCATCACCACCACCACCACCACCACCACCACCACCACTACCACCACCACCACCACCACCACTACCACCAGCAGCAGCGAGCAGCCTACAGGGGAGGAGGTGAAAGGGGATAGCATCCCGCGCGATCTTGCATTCCCCGCATTTTTTTCACGATGACTGACTTACACTTGTTCCAATGATCGTGGCGTTGCGCCGGGCCGTGGTGCTCGAGATTCCGGTGATGATCGTGATTGTTGTTGGTGTCCGCGGCGATGGTGACCTGGTGGTAGGGGGTTGCGGTGGCCACCAGGTGGATCGCCGCGGCCGAGCGCTCGCGATCCTGCTGCTGCTCGCCAGGGACGACGCCCAGGTGGCGGGTGGCGGTGGCGGCGGCGGCGGCGGCGGTGGCGGTGGCGGTAGCGGTGGCGACGGCAACGACGTCGGCGGGGCCGCGGTGGTGATGATGGTGGTGGTGATGATGATGGTGGTGCTGCTGCTGGTGATGGTGGTGCGCTGCGGCGCCGGTCGCTTCCGTGCTGCCGGTGCTGTTCTCGACGGTACGCATCGCGCGTACAATCAGCGGCGCTAGGGGCTCGCGCTTCATTCAATCGGGCGGCCGTTGCAGGTCGGGCGACCGCTGATCGCGCGCATCCCGCGGAGACCGCGCGTGCGGGCCGCGAAGGAGGAGCAGAAGACGGAAGAGAAAGGCTCGCGAGGACCGGAAGAGAATTGTCGTCGTCGTCGTCGTCGTCGTCGTCGTCGTCGTCGTCGTCGTTGTCGGGGAAGACGGCTTCTCCGAGAGAATTGTCGTCAAGAAGAGAGTCGTTCGCTGGGCCACGAAGCACCGGCTCCGATCGGCCTGAGCATCGAAAGCGTCTTCTCTACCGATTAGATCCCGCCGGAGGATCCAATTAGTAGCAGCACCGCGCGTGCGTGTCTCTGACGATCGTCGGTGCAAGATCAGTCCCCACGGTCCGTGATCTCTCATCAATGAGACCGTACGGGATTGAGATTCACATGCGTTTCACATGCGCTCAACGACGAGCGGTCGTTGCGGCGCGCGAGAATCCGCGTTCGCGCTCGAGGAGACTCGCCGAGCTGACGTTCAATATCGATACATCCCTTTAAACGAAGCATGCGCGCCACGCCGGCTGGCAGGTGGACGGCAGGAGGGTGGAAAGGAGCGCGAAGTAGGAAACGACGGGCGCGGACGGACGGACTGACAATGTCGAGAGAGAGAGAGAGAGAGAGAGAGAGACGAGGCTCGAGACAAAATTCTTATGCGCCAGCTGGCCGAATGCGCGCGTTTCGTCGGCTGTCCGACTCGAAGGACGACTTTACAGCGAGAGAAAGAGAGAGAGAGAGAGAGAGACGATGATGAGAAAGAAAGAGGAGAAGGAGCACGATGAGTGAAGCGTGAAGAGAGCTCCTGCCGCCGGTCGGTGGGATCCGCGATCCCCACACGCGACACACACTAAACACAGGGATGATAGCGCAGCCTCCTCCCGCGCAACAACAAATGAACGAACGAACGAACGAACGATAGCACACGTGATGATGTATCACCGACCTGCGTGCGTCGTCGTAGGGCAAGGCGAGTCCTTCCTGATGATGTCGTCGGAGGTCAGCGCCCCACCGAGGAGCCCGAACACTTCCGCCCTGGGCACTCGCATGCAGAATCCTGATGCTTCTTCCCCGTACGGTCGTCGCTTATCGTTGCCGCATCGTGTCGGACGACATCGTCGCTCTTCTTGCCGCAGCAGCGAGTTCTTCGATGCACTTGCCGCTCGGTTCTTCCCGATGAGGTGCGAGCTGCGGGCAGACGATCCTCGCGGTTATTACCATTCAGCACTGGCGCGAAGACAGGCACGTCAAGATCGTCGCAGGCGCAGGCGCGATCGCGGGACGGTCGACGGACGCGGGAGAACTCGCGGGATCGCACAGGTGTCGACGCGCCAAAGCGCCAAGCTGCATCACCCTCTCGTACTCGAAGGCTGCCCCCGCACGCTCGTAAACGCGCGAAACGCGACCGGTACTCAGATCTCTGGACGCGGCGCGAAGTTGACGTTGAGCCGAGACGCGGAGACAGCGAGAGAGAAAGAGAGAGAGAGAGAGAGAGAGGGACAGGTGAAAGAGCCCAAGAATGGAACCTCCGAGTAGCCCGAGGGAGCGGTACACTCGACGAGTGGCCGGTCGCCGCGTAACTGAGTCCGGATCGCGCGCGTTCCTCCGCTATATTAAAACCGTACCGTGTGTAGCGGCGGCGGCGGTGGCGGCGGTGGCGGTGGAGAGACGACGGCGACGGCGGTGGCAGCAGCAGCGAACGGTAGAGAGGGAGCGAGCGGGGTGCGGCAGGAGAGAGGCGAACGGCGCTAACGGTGACGTCATCGCGGACGTCACAACCCGGGACGCACACACGACAGCAGCCGGCGGATCGATGGACCCGGCCCGAGTGAGCGCACCTATTGGCCCACGCGGCTGATGATGCCGCTACGGTGACGTCAGCACGTCACCCACCGACCGCCCGCCTCCGTACCCTCCGCCGCTCCGGCGCTCGTTTCAACCCCACGCAAAGCCGAGGCAGCGGCGGCACGCGGACCTGACGAACGTCGGTTCCGGATGAAGATAGACGAGGAAAGAGAACGAGGTGGAAAAAGAAGCGCGTGAGAGAAAGACGAAGATATGTGTGTGTGTGTGTGTGTGTGTATGTATACTCTCGTTTCTTTTGCTTCCCCGTTCTGTTTCAACGTTTCGCAGCCGCGCGTGTAACAGAAACAACGGCGCTGGCTGGTTTTTGCGAGAGCGCCAGATAATTATATTACAATTATGATATTATCCATTTGTGTATTTTTTCCTACGCACGGTCGCACGCTTTGACACGCGCTGACAGTCGCGTAGGTATTTCTTTTTTCCTTCTCTCTCTCTGTGAAGTGTACGGTGTAATGGCGTTTCATGTGATTACGGCTCTATTTATTCGATCAAAGCTTCTATTAAATTATCTTCAAAGATTCCTGCGCTCTTTCCCCCCCCCCCCGCCTTTTTTCTAACCGATGCTTTCAGTCAGACGACTGAATTTCCATCAGTACGTCGTAATTGCGTTACGGTAATGACATTACTTACTTTACATGTCGTATGTATGTATATTCTAAATATATACCGAATATAAAATTGCAATTTTTTCTCCAATCAAACAGACGATTCTCAGAGAGACTTCTCGCTAGACCTCACAGAGAGTTCTCCCAATTAAGGGAGAAAAAAAGAAGAAAGTTAAATTCGTTCCAGAGAATTTAACAATTCTGGCAATTCAATTATAGACGGATTCAATTATATCTCCTTGTGAGAAACCCCCCAGCCGTCTCGTCTAGCTCTTCGTTCGCTAATAAATTGGATAATGTATTGGCATTAAACTCACAAATAAACCACAAATTAATACCCTCCTCGGGTGCCGTAAAGCCGCTGTGACGAATGATTCGATTCGTTGATGATGACGATGATTTTGTAATACGTGCCGCGCGCGCGTTAACGAACGCGCCGTCCTTCTCGCACGTTGTCATAAATATACCGAGATCGATCTGACGGCAAGAGCTCATGTCGGTTATGGCCGGTTTTGTAATATCGACGGGAGAAAACTGCAAGGAAAGAGCGCTCTCTCTCTCTCTCTCTCTCTCTCTCTTTTTCTCCTCCTGATACTCGTAGCTCGTGCGTGCAGCGATGCACCGGAATGCATCGGCGGTGCGCAGACGTGCTGTCGTTATTAACCTATGACCTAGGGACGCGCAATCCAGCCAACCCCGTAATGTAATCGGCCGATAGCTGACAATTATCGCGTAAGAATGTCACGGTATTTCGTTATTTTGTCCGCAATGATCCTAGACCTGAGGAACCGCCGCGTCCGCAATTATCAGGCAAAACTCCAAGGGTATTCCCTTTGCGCATTGCGTGACGGTTATTCCCGTCACGTAACGAACGGACAGACGGACTCTCGCCGGATTATGCTTTTCCACTTGAGCGATGGAGGACCGTGGACTTTCATTCGGTCTCGTGCAATTTTCTTAATTTCCATCCCGTCTCGGCAGGACTCGTGGAACTTGCGTAATTAAGCTTCGCTGTTGTTGGAACGGACGAATTTTTCGTGCGAGGGACAGGAGGAGGGACGAGGATTATGTCCCCGGTGATTTTTCAATCGCCACGAAGTTTCGGAAATGGGCGCCCCGTGTCTCACAAGGAATCTCGCTTCAAATTAAAATTCCATTAAAACATCGCATATATATACATATATATATATATACACACACACGCACACACACGCACACACACACACACACACACGTGCGCTGAGGAACGTAGGAGAGCGCGGAGGACAGACGTTTCGTCTCGAGTCGGACTTCTAATCATGAATATCTGACCTGATTTCGTAAAATCCGCCCCCGATACGAATACGGCGAACTCAATTAAAACTTTCCACAACAGCATGATCGAGGCCACGCGGAAACGTCCCTCCGCCGTTCCCGGCGTTCTCTTCTGGCCGCTCTCGGCCGCCTCATCATCCAGACAGCGAGACTTCGATCTCGAATCCCGTCGCGCAGACTCGGCCACTCGAAACAAACGGTACAACAATTACGTCATCAATTCACCTGTGCCGTCATCACTCGTGCGGCGTGGCACGACGACGTCATTGTTTTCCCCCACTGCGCCAACGATGACGAAGTCTCCGCTCTGCCTGCGCTCTCGTCGGACGCTTCTGCGCGTAGGTCAGTTATGGGGGTGGCGGAGAAGGCAAGAGAAGGGTGGATTATCGGAGGGCAGAAGGAGACGGAGTGAATCGAGAAACGAGCGAGAGAGAGAGAGAGAGAGAGAGAGGAGGGGGGAGAACGAGAGGGAGAACGACGCAGCGACGTTCTTCCGTCGTCGATTTCCACCACCGCCGCCGCCGCCGCCACCGCCGCCGCCGCCGCCGCCGCCGCCGCCGTCGGCCTCCATTCATGCATCACCCGATGCACCCCGCGCCCACCCATCTCTCGCACCCTCCTGCGCTTCCATATACCCCTCTCGGCCTCTCCGCCCCGCGTGCAGCCCCGGCGAGCGGTGCACGCGTGGCAGAGCGGAGGCGTCAGCACGAGCCAACGTCGTCTCGGTTAATCGAGCACTTCGACACGTGACGAAACACTAAGGGCTCGCGGTGGTCGGCTCTGTGATGCCGGCGTGCCGTCACCTATATGAAGCAGCCGCTGATCCGGAAAAGCCGGCTGAGGGGTAAGGTCGACTTCGATCCGCTCGCGGCAGGGTGGAATCGGCGGCTGCGTCCGTCGCGCTGCGAGCCCGAGCGCGTTTCGCTCGAATCGGGAGCTGTGAAGAATATTCGAGTGGTTCTCTCTCTCTCTCTCTCTCTCTCTCTCTCTCTCTCTCTCTCTCTCTCTCTCTCTCTCTCTCTCTCTCTCTCCTGTTTCTCCTTTCGAGCACGCGTCTTCCTTCGAGCCACGGCAGAAACGGCGTTCTCTCGCGCCGCCTTAATGAGCGAACGTCGCGTAACTTTCCCGATCGTCGAAATCCAATCACGAAATTCTGTAAGCGCGACGACTGCGCAACATTCACGTGTGATTTGCATCCCGACGGGAGAACGATCCCTTTCGCGTCCGCGATCTTAAATCACCGAAATTCCGACGACTGCGAGATACTCACGTCCGGCGGGGCTTTTTCGCCTTGCAACACGAGAAGCCGCTATAACGATGCGACGAGGGTCTTATATTTTTCACCAATCTACTCTTTCGCTATACTATACGAGAAAATTCTAGTTCAAAGACTGCGAAAGTCGGTCGGAAAAAGAAGAACTGCCCGGGTGTCAGGGTTAGTCGGGAGTGCAGAACGCTCAAAATCGTCCGTAGACGGCAGAGAGAACCCGACGAATTTGAAGGACCGAGCAATTTTGTCGAACGGCGACGGGTAAATTCACAGATGTTAACCGCGCAGACGGGCAGACAAATTTATTAATGTAGATAGCGTCTCTCTCTCTCTCTCTCTCTCTCTCTCTCTCTCTCTCTCTTCGTGCAACGACATGATGGCGTAAGCACGCGCGCGTCTGACAATGCAACGTACAGTAACAACAATTGACTGGCGTTCACGATAATGCAACGGGCGCGATTATCGCGACGATCGTGTCGTGAGATGCACATAAATGTCTGTAATAAGATAAAGGCGGATAAAGTCATTCGCCTCTCGGCGAGGCGGCGGGATCGCGTCGATTTCGACAAGGTAAGATCGACGATGAACGGCGCCGTGTATCCCCGGGCTAACGCGGCGCCAGAGATAATATACATTTCCAATCTGCCTCGCTATCGGCGAACACACTAACACATGGTACACATGGCCGCCGCGCGCCTCGACAATCGGCTGTCATCGATGTATAGTCCCGTGATACAACGATAGATTTTATAATTGAAATTATCTGCTCTGCGTATGTGTGTGTGTGTGTGTGTGCGTGTGTGTGTATGTAGATATGTGTACGTGTACGTGAGCCGTCGCCGCAGCGAGATTCGCCATCGGACTCTCGCATCGTGGCGGTTACAA